CCCCAAAACCCCAAAACCCCAAAACCCCAAAGCCTAATAAATGGCTTTACTGAGAGAGCCAATAAAATGAATGGGTAAATAATTAATTACCAGGGTTTTAAAGCGATTAAACAGTATTAATTGGCAAATTATTGTATATAAGAAATTAATTATAATTCATTTCAAGAAATAAATAAGTCCGACACAACAAATGAAGATTGACGCAGTCAGATTCGGAGTTAGAACTAACAAGACCATCAGAAAATCCAACAAGAGTACCATTACTTATGATATGGAGAAGTCTATTCTTAAGTAGAGCAATAAAGGTGCTGTTATCAGCTCTTACGGAGACAAGCTAATTAAGTCAGTCAACAACTTTGAGTAAATCAACAAGAAGGAAAGAAAGAGAAAACTCAAGTAAGATGCTGATGAAATTGAAGAGGATGAAGATTATGAACAGGACGAGGAGTTCTACGTTCAAGTCATCCCAGACCACATGAATGCCAAAAAGATTCATGAAGACTCAGAAGATGAGGAAGAGGATATGGAGGAAAGTCAAATTGATGAGGAAGAAATAAAGGCCTCAGAGGAACCAGTAAAAATTATCTTAATCAGACTAGCACATCTCCAAAGAGAATATGCTAATCAAGAATTCGATGAAATTCCAGAAGATGTACAAGAAGAGATCAAGGACTTACAAAGAGAGCTGAACAAATTCAACCCTAAGCTAATCAAGGTTGAAGGAAACAGCAACAAGTGCCTAAGAGCCTTCTCAATTGAAAAGCTATCTGGGTTCATGAACGCTCATGAATTCCAAAGAAAGTATCTATAAACAGGTGAGAAGCAAGGAAAGTACTTACTAAAGCCTACTAAGTCTCACAAAGAGAGTAAGATGGGCTCAAAGAAGCAAGACAAGCGCAAGGATCAAAAGAACCAGATCAAGACTGATCTGCAAGACTATTGAGGAGAGAAAATTGATCTTGAAAAGACAATTAAGATAAAAAATTATAGAAAAGGAGGCGATAGTTGAATTATCTAAGTTAACTCTGTAGTTCAGATGACTGGATGATTCTATTCGGTTCATCATACTAATATATGTGTATATATATTTAAAAATTAGTTTGCTAAAAATCAATCACAATTTTCTTAGGATAATTAATAACTTATTATCAGAATCACAATTATGCCATCAGGATTTAACAGATGGGGTTTTGGGGTTTTGGGGTTTTGGGGTTTTGGGG